CTGGGCACCAGTGGCCTCAGTTTGTGGTTATCTCAACATCCAGTGCCATTGGAAGCCATACCAAATGGTTGACCATGGCATTTCCTCTGTGTGGAGTACCTCACACAGTGTTTGGTGCCTTTAGCAATGCTGCTGGCACATGAATGTCTACATTTGCTTCCCCAGGATGATCCACAGGGATCAGATGACACACAAGCATGCCAATCAACATCCCAAAGGAGGTCCTCAACTTTTTCTGGGAGCATGTCCTACTTCCAGCGATCCATGCACATGTGGATGTTTCAAGTGCACTACATCTCTCTCACTCTGAAGGAAGTGCAGTTCAAGGCATGAAAGGGTGGCAAAACAAGAAGGCTGGTCAGCCAAAAGTGGTCCCCCTTTCTATGCAAGTGTTGAAGCAGATCCAGAAGACCATGGAGGCAATCATCCAAGAGGACCCTTTATGATTTGCAAACTATGGTTCCTTCTTCTTCGTCCTGGAATGCAAGGGAATCAAGTTGTGGATGAAAACCACCCTGTTGGGAGTGGTTCAAATGCTGGTCCAAGCTCTCCATGGACTTCCAGCTCTGGATTGGTCCCACATGGTAGACAGGGCCAATGGGGAGCTCTTGGTTGACTTGGGAATCTGTTAACTTCACCCAGCCTTAAGGCCTTGTGCCCAGTGTCAGAGACTATATTCAACAGCTAAGTAGTGACATTACCTTGTGCCCAGTGTCAGAGACTATATTCAACAGCTAAGTAGTGACATTACCTTGTGCCCAGTGTCAGAGACTGAAGAGAAAATACACTGGGCACACAGAACTGCTAAGTGTGCAAAAATGGTAAACAAAGGAAAACAAACAGTCACCACATACCACAACACTGTATAGTGTAGGAATGCAAAGTTAGACCATATTAGTGTAGCATATAACAGTAGAATAAATGAAAATGCAAACAGAGGTGCAGAGGCACCACTGTAACAGAATCAGCATCCACCCCACATGTGACAAAAAGCTCATGGGATTGTGGAGACTGGATGCCCTGGAAGCTTCCTTTGGGGCAGGTGGATATTTGCAAGGAAATGCCCACCACACTTGCATGCTTGGATGGTATGGGGGGATCCAAGCAGAGATGTCACAGGAGTGAGCATGCAAACTCACATTGCATTCAGAAGTGCTTATAATCTGGCCTATGAGGTGATCTGACCCAATGACAACAGCCCCACCTTTGTCATGGACAAGGATGCTTATTCCCTGAACAACAACTTCATTGGGGAATGCATGCAGGCCATCAACATGTATTCTGGAGATGCCAAGAAGAGGTCATATGGGGTGCAAGACAAGTACAGGATGAGTGGGGCTGCAGTGGAGCAGGCAATACTGGTGGTGCCACAAAGGGTGATGCATTTCCAAGCTCGATCATGCTCATATCTGATGCTTCCATCTTTGCAGATGGAAGAGCTTTTAGCCTCCAATCCCATTCTCTGGATTCTGACCAAAGTCTGGTTGGAATTTATGGCTAGACACATCAGGGCCCTCCAGTTGGCTCAGATCTCTCTCAAGGAACTGGAACCACCCAACCTTGGGATTCTGACTGGCATCATCTGCCACATGATATGGTGCACGTCCACCACTGCAATAATCCTCAACTTCCATGTGAGAAGTCCATGAGGAGAAGAGCATGCTGAGTCTGAATGATGAGATTGTTAAGATATCCCAATACTCAGCACTCTATGTGCAGAGTCAGTGCACATAGAGTGCTGAGTATTGGGATATCTTAACAATCTCATCATTCAGACTCAGCATGCTCTTCTCCTCATGGACTTCTCACATGGAAGTTGAGGATTATTGCAGTGGTGGACGTGCACCATATCATGTGGCAGATGATGCCAGTCAGAATCCCAAGGTTGGGTGGTTCCAGTTCCTTGAGAGAGATCTGAGCCAACTGGAGGGCCCTGATGTGTCTAGCCATAAATTCCAACCAGACTTTGGTCAGAATCCAGAGAATGGGATTGGAGGCTAAAAGCTCTTCCATCTGCAAAGATGGAAGCATCAGATATGAGCATGATCGAGCTTGGAAATGCATCACCCTTTGTGGCACCACCAGTATTGCCTGCTCCACTGCAGCCCCACTCATCCTGTACTTGTCTTGCACCCCATATGACCTCTTCTTGGCATCTCCAGAATACATGTTGATGGCCTGCATGCATTCCCCAATGAAGTTGTTGTTCAGGGAATAAGCATCCTTGTCCATGACAAAGGTGGGGCTGTTGTCATTGGGTCAGATCACCTCATAGGCCAGATTATAAGCACTTCTGAATGCAATGTGAGTTTGCCATGCTCACTCCTGTGACATCTCTGCTTGGATCCCCCCATACCATCCAAGCATGCAAGTGTGGTGGGCATTTCCTTGCAAATATCCACCTGCCCCAAAGGAAGCTTCCAGGGCATCCAGTCTCCACAATCCCATGAGCTTTTTGTCACATGTGGGGTGGATGCTGATTCTGTTACAGTGGTGCCTCTGCACCTCTGTTTGCATTTTCATTTATTCTACTGTTATATGCTACACTAATATGGTCTAACTTTGCATTCCTACACTATACAGTGTTGTGGTATGTGGTGACTGTTTGTTTTCCTTTGTTTACCATTTTTGCACACTTAGCAGTTCTGTGTGCCCAGTGTATTTTCTCTTCAGTCTCTGACACTGGGCACAAGGTAATGTCACTACTTAGCTGTTGAATATAGTCTCTGACACTGGGCACAAGGTAATGTCACTACTTAGCTGTTGAATATAGTCTCTGACACTGGGCACAAGGCCTTAAGGCTGGGTGAAGTTAACAGATTCCCAAGTCAACCAAGAGCTCCCCATTGGCCCTGTCTACCATGTGGGACCAATCCAGAGCTGGAAGTCCATGGAGGAGAGCTTGGACCAGCATTTGAACCACTCCCAACAGGGTGGTTTTCATCCACAACTTGATTCCCTTGCATTCCAGGACGAAGAAGAAGGAACCATAGTTTGCAAATCATAAAGGGTCCTCTTGGATGATTGCCTCCATGGTCTTCTGGATCTGCTTCAACACTTGCATAGAAAGGGGGACCACTTTTGGCTGACCAGCCTTCTTGGTTTTGCCACCCTTTCATGCCTTGAACTGCACTTCCTTCAGAGTGAGAGAGATGTATAGTGCACTTGAAACATCCACATGTGCATGGATCGCTGGAAGTAGGACATGCTCCCAGAAAAAGTTGAGGACCTCCTTTGGGATGTGATTGGCATGCTTGTGTGTCATCTGATCCCTGTGGATCATCCTGGGGAAGCAAATGTAGACATTCATGGTGCCAGCAGCATTGCTAAAGGCACCAAACACTGTGTGAGGTACTCCACACAGAGGAAATGCCATGGTCAACCATTTGGTATGGCTTCCAATGGCACTGGATGTTGAGATAACCACAAACTGAGGCCACTGGTGCCCAGTGTAAGAGACTAATATTCAAGGGAATACTGCATAAGACATACCTTGTGCCCAGTGTAAGAGACTGAAGAAAATTTCACTGGGCACACAACAGTAAGTGTGCAAACATGATAAACAAAGGTAAACAATAAATAAATGCAAACCAAGGACACTTAGAGTGAAGCTAAGTGTCCACTACATGCCTGTAGGGTGAGATAGAAATAGAAAGGAAAAACATGATCTGAGGTGCACAGGCACCTGATATGAACAGGTATGGGAGCTGCTGGTGCAGTTTGGGTAGGTTTGGGAGGGAGAGGCACAGGTAGGGAAGGTGTGGAAGGGCGAGTGGACAAAGGGAAGTACCTCTCATCAAAATCAGCCCTTTCTGAGATTATTGTGCACTTTGTGGTGGGATTGTAGAATGTCCAGCCTTTGTAGCCATCAGGGTACCCTATAAAGACACACTTCTCCATGTGGGACTCCAGGGGTCACCTCTTGTCCTTTTGGATGTGCACATAGGCAGTACACCCCCAAACTCGAAGGTGGGAGACATCTGGCTTTCTCCCATGCCACAGTTCAAAGGGAGTTGCATTTTGAAGTGCTTCAGTAGGGCATCTGTTCCACACATGGACCAAGGAGGCTAGGCACTCTCCCCAGAAAGCCTTAGGAAGGCCAGACTCATCCAGCATTGCAGTAAGCTGCTCAGAGAGTAGTCTATTGGCTTGCTCTGCCACTCCATTTTGCTGGGGTCGATTTCTGACTGTGTGCTGGTGCTGGATTCCGCATTTGGTGGTAAAATTGATGAAGGCATTGCTCATATACTCCCCTCCCTTGTCATCTCGCACAATCTTTATTTTCCTTTCACTCTGGTTCTCAGCAAAGGCCTTGAAGGTCTTGAAGGCCTCAAGATCTCAGACTTCGCTTTCAGAGGCAAAACAAAGCAAAAGCAAGAGAAATCATCAATGAAGGTGACCCAATACTTGTAGCCAGTGAAGCAGGGGTGGCCTAAATAGTGCAAATCACTGTGGACAAGTTCCAGGGGCCAAGAAGCATGCCAGGAAGAGCTGGGAAAGGGCTTTGCATGCATCTTGCCAGCCAGGCAAGGTTCACAGATAGGATCAGGCACTTTGTTCAAGTCTAGGGTCATCCCAGTGACTAGATTTCGCTCCAGGAGGGACTTCACACCAGCCAGGTGGTGATGGATGAGTCTCCCGTGCCATAGGTTGAAATCCAGGGGCAAAGTGGTCGCTGCAGAGGCATATTCACTGAGGGGAACAGTCTCACCCTCCAGGAATGCAGAGTTGTTGTCCAAAATTCTTGCAATGAAGAGGGTAGGGCCAGGGCACTGCCTGAAGGACATCTGCGAAGACTTGATGCTGACAGTGAAGCCCTTGTTGCGACAGAGATATATCACAGATAGTAGATTATTTCACAGGTCAGGGACATGTAGGACATTGGTAAATTCAACAGGCCAATGCTTCTGACCCCCCACCACAGGCTCAAACACTACTGACCCCACCCCAGCTGTGTAGACAATTTTGTTGTCTGCTAGACACACAGGAAGGCATTTTTGGCTGTAATTTCACAGCCAGTGTTGATGAGGTGTCATATGAGAAGTGGTGCCTGTATCTGCATTCCAATGCACATCAGCATCGAGCTGGAGGGGGCAGAGGGGAGAGGAGGGGTTAAGGGAATGAAAACTTGCATTTCTAGTGAATTGTACTGCTTGGGATGCGCTCTGGTTTGATGAGGAGGTTGTTGTTGCTGTCCCAGTTGCTGGGGAAGAAGCAGATGAGGTAGAGGCTTGATTTGCAGTATTGGCACTTTTCCTGTCCTTCTTATTCTTCCTAGAGTGATAATAAGCCTTTGATCTTTCCAGGTTTGGACACTTGTGGACACAGTGGCCTGAATAATCACAGAACTCGCAAGGCAATGAAGGTGAGCACTTGCAAATTGCAGAGGAGCTCACTAGTGCGGTCGCTGATGTCCCTGCATCAGGGCAGTGCTTGCACTGCGATTCTTCAGCCAGGACTGCTGCTTTGAGTTTGTCCTTGTCCAGAGATTGGAACAGAAGGAGAGAAGAGGCAAAATGAGAGTAATCTTCACCTAGAGAGCACACCATAGCCATACAGACAAGTTCATTGTCCATAATCCTTGATGCAATATGGAGTAGTAGAGTCCTTGGGGCGCAATTGTTGAATTTTGGACATGGAATCTTTGATTCTAGCGATTAAGGATGACAGGGACTCATCTGGGGGCTTCCTGATCGAAAAGAAGTCATCCCAAGCATTAAAGCGAGCTCCAGGGTGTTGCTGGAGGTGGATGGAGGCTAGAGTTGACCAGATTTGGACAGGGTGATCCTGTACAGCATCTACATGGGTTCTCTGCTCACTAGAAAGTGCTAGGTAAAGCTCCCCAGCTGCCCTGTCTGCTCTAAGGTCCCACTTGGCCTGAGCTTCAACTTTGGAGTCATCAGGGCACTTTTCCAGACCACTAACAATGGTCCAGAGCCCTTTTGTGTGCAGGAAAGCCTTCATTTTGCCTTTCCAGGTCAAGTAGTTGGAGGCAGTGAGTTTAGTGACAGAGGGCGACAAGTTGGCATGGTCTTCAGCCATGGTGGCGAATTTTGAGTGGACAGGAGAAGGATGGGGTGGATGGGGTGAGTCTGGAAGCTGGGAGCTCAAAGAATGAGCTGTAGTGAGTGAGTGTGTGGTCATACTCAAATTTATCATATACCATCAGAGAAAGCATTTGTCAGGTTGCTACATCATGGATAGCCTTGCTGACACTGGTAAATGTGGTTAAGACATGGTGGACAATGGCGAACATCACCTAGCAAAATATAGACTGGGGGAGATCAGGTGGTCATGTGCAAACTTATCATATACCATCAGAGTCGGTGTTCATCAGATTTCTACCACTGCAGATGGTCTTACTGACATTGGTAAAGGTGGTCAAGACATGATGAACAATGACAAACATGGTCTAACAAAATATAAACAGGGGGAGGTCATGTTGCAAGTGTAGTACTCCAGCACTCAGCAATGCTAGTCCCTACTAGCACTTGGTGGCTAAACCACACCAAGTAAGCCTAGATACCTTGACCAAATAGCTCAGTGGTTAGAGCACCTGGTCAAAACCTGGGAGGTCCAGGGTTCAATCCCCTGTCTGGTCACATTTATTGCAACAGGTCAGGCGGTCCTGCTCAAACTTATCATATACCATTGACACAAGTGTTCATCAGGTTCCTACCACTGTGGATAGTCTTTGTAACATTGGTAAAGGGGTTTAGGAGATGGGGAACAGTGAAGAATGTGGTCTAGCAAAAAATAGACTGCGGGAAGTCAGGTGGTCATGCTCAAATTTATCATATACCATCAGACCCAGTGTTCATTGGGTTTCTACCACTGTAGATAGTCTTACAGACATTGGTAAAGGCAGTTAAGACATGATGAGCAATGGCAAACATCACCTAGCAAAATGTAGAAAGGGGGGGGTCAGGTGGTCATACTCAAATTTATCATATACCATCAGAGAAAGCATTTGTCAGGTTGCTACATCATGGATAGTCTTGCTGACATTGGTAAATGTGGTTAAGACATGGCGGACAATGGTGAACATTGCCTAGCAAAATATAGACTTGGGGAGGTCAGGTGGTCATGCACAAACTTATCATATACCATCAGTCAGAGCTTGTCGGATTTCTACCACTGTGGATGGTCTTACTGACATTGGTAAAGGTGGTCAAGACATGACAAACAATGGCTACCATCACCTAGCAATCTCCATGTACTTCCTGATGTCC